ACTCGTCGTAATTTTGCGACGAATTTACGACGGTTTTACATTTACTAGAAAATCTCTCATTATCGATGTATAATCGTCGTAATTCGTCGTAAATTGTACGTCGAGTTTACGACGATTTTTTTATACGATGGTTTTACGATGGTTTTTAAATTAGACGTTAGATCGTCGTAAAATTGTTGTAAATTTGCGACGATTTAAAAACCGTCGTAATGGACCGTTGGAAAACGATTGTTTTCTTGTAGTGAAAGTGTTAGAAGATAATTATCCATTTTAATAGTTTAATATTTATTTGTACTAGAAGTTTCTTTCACCGACTTGAGTAAGTCGGTAATTTTGGTGCTATATAAATATGTACCCAAGGCTAAAAAGAAAACAGATCAATAATAAGATGAAGAGAAATCGTTTTCGCCCTTGTCTCTTACTTGTTCTCTCTCTCTCTCGTATCTCAATCTCTTTAATATAACAAAGATATATATTATATGCAAAACACATATATCACCTCGTATAGAAAAAATATATTTTATAGTTTATAACACGTTATTAGCACAATCGTCTCTCGATCTGATATCGAATAAAGAAGATCTATTTTAATACCAAAAAGATGAAGTTTAATTAATTTCAATCCCTGTACGTTTATATCTAGAAGATGATTGTGTTAATTATAGTTTTTAAATTTATGTTTACTATCATTTAATTGTTAATTTGTTTAACTATTTGATTTATTTTTGTCAATTAAATATGTGAGTTCCAGAAGAATAATTATAATTTGAAGATAAATTTGAGTTTCAGAAGAGCGAGTTGTATCGGAAATAGAAAACGCTTCAGAAGAGCTAGAAAATCTGGAATAGCTAAAAGTTTCGGAAGAGCTAAAAGTCCCGGAGGAACTAAAAACTTTCAAAAGAACTAAAAGTTCTAAAAAAGCTAAAAAGTAAACAGTTCTGAAAATTTTACAAAAGCTAAAAAACTTCTGAAGAGCTAAAAGTTCTGGAAGCTTTGCGAGTTAAAAAACTCCCGAAGAGTTAAAAAGCTCCGGAAATTTCAAAAGTTGAAAGCTCTGAAAGAATTAGGAACTGCAAAAATTTTATGAATTAAAAATTCCAGAAGAGTTAGAAGTGTCGAAAGAGATAGAAATTTCTGAAATGTTAGAAATTCTTGAAGAACTAAACACTCTTCAAGAGAGAAATTCAAAGATAGTGGAAAGCTCCAAAAAGAACGAAATGCTATCAAAAAATATATGATGGAGACATGCATACATATGGCAAATTGTTTAAGATAGTAAACCTGAAGTTTACTAGTATATAACATAATCGGTTTAAGCCATCTTGATGTAATAATGGTATTGAGAATTTATGTGAAAAAATTCGAAGTTTTTCACACATAGCATGTCTTGTTGAAAATAAAAAAGGACCATCATGAGAGATAAATCACCATTTTTTGTTGAACAATTGTTAGATATGATGGTTGGATTTCTTTAAGCAGTCCCCAAATTATACCCTAAGTTAAAGAAAATCAGTTCAAGATGTATGGGCTAAAAAAGCTATCATCAGAGGGGGTTTTAAGAGTCCACTAAAGGATTTGATGCATAATACAAGGCCCAAAGATTGGTTATTTGGATATGTTTTGGTCCTAAAGTTGGATTCATTTCAAGATGGATGAACTTGAAATATCATCATCTCGAGGGGGAGAATTAAAGAATTCCATATCAAAAGTAGTCAAATATCCAGAAGATTATGTTCACACTTGAAATGAGTTTTATGGATAATTTATAAAGTAGATCCAGAAGATCGTAAAATCAACAAATGGTGAAAATTAATCTTCATGTTTTGGTTTGAAACAGCAAATGAATGATATTTCTTAAAATGAATTATCATTGGAATTATGGATCCTAGTATAAATGATTTTGAACCTGAAGTTCAAAGGATAATTCATATGTAAATGCCAGACATACAATGAAAGAAAATCTCAGTTTAACTCAAAATGCTCCAAAAATATGTCCCTGAAGGACGATTTATCAATAAAGATTTTATGGCATGTAAGAAACGTGATAGACTATTTTGGTTCCAAATATAAAATCCTCAAAAAGAAAGGAGCAAATATATGTTGAAAAGAGGATGAATCTCCTGAAGAGACACGTTGATATGTTTAGTAATAAAATCAGATACCTGAATTATATCATTGATAATGATAAAGAGATCTCTATTAACCATGTCATTACGTAAAAAGATGGAACCAAAGACAAATTCATTATCGACAATAAATAATATAGCCGCGATTTGATATGAATGAGGATCATAAGACTACCTCTATGGATGAGTGTAGAAAGTGAAAATATTAGCCAAAAAGTGAAAAGAGGCAATCAAATATATATTAAGCTCGTATGAAAAATGAGAAATTTTTGGACCAGCAGTCCAAACATTAAAAATAATATCAAGTCTGGCAAAAAATGAGCGACTTGAATTTCAAAGAAAATAATCCTGAAAGATTAATGATATCATAATTATGTTCCCGGGAACTCTACTTGATGAATATATGTTGCATATAGTTTAACAGTTTTAGTTAAGGTTAACCAATACATGGATCAAAGAAAGTGATCCTTATTTTAATCATAAGATATGATGCGTTTAAGAAAGAAATATTATGTTCAGTTTGTTATAGGTATCCCAATTGAAAATCTCATCTCGAAATATCCCAGTAGGATCTAACATATAGAAAATACTATTTAATCCTCCCTACAAAATATTTCGAACTTGAAGTTCATAAAACTTGGAAGTGCTCCACAAAAAATTAATGTTCCTGAAGAACAAAAATTCATTGGAGCAGAGTAAATGAACCCGAGGTTCAGTGAAAAATGGGAGGCCGATGGACTATAAAATTCTCCTAAATAGAATGAAAATTAGAGAATAAAATGAAAGAATTCCAAAAAAATCAATAAAAGAAAATGTCGTAGGACTTATAATCATTACACCTGAAGATGTAATATCATTTGAGACCAAATGGGTCGTTGTTCGAAAAGAATGAGAAAAATGAAGTTACAAGACATAAAGCCCGGTTTGTGGCACAAAAGTTTTCTCAAAGACCGAAAATTGATGTTCCTCGGTCGTGAATATAATCACATACAGTAATGTGTTGATATCCCAGAAGGATCAAAGATGTTTGAAGCATCTGAAAATTTTATTTGGTCAAGTTACATTGATCAAAAGAAAAGTTTGAAATGAGATATCTTGGAAAGTCAGGATATATAATATATTTCATGAAAAGAGCATGACTAACTCGAACTACGGACCAGAAGTCCAAAGATTTGAGGATGACGATCATACAAGTTTGTTTACGAAGGCTCTACTTATAAAGATTCTCAAAAAAGATGGTGTATATAATTGGAACACATTTCCTGAAGATGATGTTTTCAATAGGAGAATTGTATGGCTGCATTCATTTTTCTTCATCATGGTTTTTATCATAAAAATTTTTTCTATGACGAGGTTTTTAACGAGGTAGCAAAGAAGACGCAAAAAGATAAACATTTAAAGAAGAATACTTCCAGAAGAAGTATAATAATGTGCATAGATGTATTTTTTTTGTCATGATTTTTGTCTCTATAAATTTTTTTAAGATAAATTATTTTTTTTACTGAAATATCAAATAACATACAAGAATATTATATCAATTTTTAAAAAAAAAAATATATGATGGATAATTAAAAAGAAATGTTAGAAGATAATTATCCATTTGAATAGTTTAATATTTATTTGTACTAGAAGTTTCTTTCACCGACTTGAATAAGTCGGTAACTTTGGTGCTATAAATATGTACATAAGTTTAAGAAGAAAATAGATCAACAATAAGATGAAGAGAAAACATTTTCTCTCTTGTCTCTTACTTGTTCTCTCTCGTATCTCAATCTCTTTAATATAACAAAGATATATATTATATATAAAACACATATTTCACTTCATATAGATCAAATATATGTTATAGTTTATAACAAAAAGGACTTTATTTTCATTTTCTGTTAACATTAAATGAATTTTATAATAGGAGTTGACCAGCGCATGGTTTACTCCTCTATCAATTTCATAATAAGTATTATTTTCAATCATATCCTCAAAATATATGATGCCTTGAATACGATGTTTAATGCCAAATTTGTATTAAAAAACTAAAATGATACTTATTTTGAAATAAATAGAGTATTAATATATCACATAAACTTGAAAGAGAAAAAACCAAATCAAAACTAATAAAATACCGCATTGACTGCTCCTAATGCTGTCAATTTTTAATGTAGGGCTGGGCACACAACTTGATTATTTGGTTCGTCAAAATTGTTGCCTATAATTAGTTACCAGGATATTGACCATTTCATATTGATAAATTTGGTTTGGAATTTTTTCCATTTTCAAATTTAGATATATTCACAGTAATGAATATCTTAGTATATATAGGAGAATGATTCAAAGTATTTTGACACTTGTTCAACTAACTTTTCTTATATTTCAACAAATTTATTAAAAAGGAAATTCTATAGTTGGTTTCCAATCCTAAAAAGTAAAGAAAAACTTATAATTAGCTAAAAAAAAATAATAGATCAAAAAAAAAACAACTATCATTTATAAAAAAAAAATTATATTTCAGTTTAGTATAATAAAAAAATTAAAATATAGATTACAAATTCACAACCAAAATTTTTGTTTGGTCTAACACAAGAATAGACTAGTAAGAATTAAGAACCTATTTTTAAATTTTGGAACACTATAGAAAACGAAGCACTTGTTGCAATTAGTTGAAATTTTTTAGAATTCGAGTAATTAAAAGGGTCATATCGATAAATCGATATTTTTTTATTATTAGCCCTATTTCATAATATGTAAAAAAACTTTTTACAAAACAAAAATTATTTTTTTAAATGATTCATTGATATTATTATTTTATGTAAATGATCTTAGAGTTGTAGACAGGCGGTATAGGAAAAAAAAAAACTCAATTCTTCGCAAAAACTGATTTTATTTCCTAATCAAAGAAATGATTATATTGAACGTTGTTTGGCGTGGGAAGCTAGCATAATTTTGGGTCGCATGGTGTACAAACTTCTTGAAGAGGCAGTCAACGATAATGGTATCACCAAAATGAGCAACAAGCATAGGTTCGGTGATGGCTCTTGTGATATTTGCCATATTTTTCCCAATTTTGATTCCATGAGATTGGTCATCATAGTCATCATCTTCATCTTCACCGGTTTTGTTGGAAACAAGAAGTTCATGTGTCTCTATTTTCTTAATCTCAAAGGAGCCTTCCTTTCGGACAACCTCCCTAACTTCTTCTTCGTTCGGTTGGTAGAACGGTAAGTTGAATGAGTCCACTTCTGATTCTTTCACAACCTCCTGTCATAACATGTTTCGTTACAACTTACAAGCTTTCATTAAAAAGCTTAAAATAGAAAAGAGATTAATTGTACTTTCTAATAAAACAAAGATAGAGAGAACAATGATCAAATGTACATCATCTATCTTTATGTATAAAATACTTCTAATAATTATTTTGTCAACAGCATACATTAGGTTGATTTGCGTCGCATTGAGAAAATAAGCACAAATCACTAGATTATATTATATATAGGACATAATACACATCTAGTTAACTAGTCATGTATAGTAAATGAATACCTCCAAAACTAGGTCGACGAGTGCATCAGAGAGCAAGGACCAAAGGTAGAAACCGTCTCTGCATAAAGGATCTACATCTTTTTTTCCTATGAACGTGAGAACCATGCGTCCATTAGGCAACATCTCTTCAGAACGCATTCTTAAGAATAAGTAGAAATCGTTTTGGAACTGTTCCATATAACTCTGACACACATTTAGAGAGCATCCACTACTAATGTATACATTCTTCTTATTATCTTCAAGCCCTTGAGGAACTTTAGAAAGCCAGTGAATACTATAAGATGAATGAAGAAAATGAAGGGATTTCTTGGGAAGGAGCCTTGAGTAGAAAGAACCTGGAACTCCCGATATGAAACAGTTTCCTTTAACCTCTTTGTTCAACGAAGAAACCAATTTGAATGTTGTATTGAAATCATTCTCCGGAAGATCGTTTAAGCAATAATCGATCTCTGGTATGCTTTGATTTATCTGTTGGTATGATTTTGTGATTGTGTTGATGATTTCAGACATGACCAAAAACGTGTTTTGTCCGGACGAACATCCTAAATCTGTTACTTTGATGCAATGCTTAGGAAAATTTAACTTGAGTAACATTTCTCTGATGTTCTCTTCCACAATCGGTCGTGTTTTAGAGATAACATCTCTCTGCCAAGCCAAAATTTTGAATATATATCAATAAAAATTTAAAATACACAGACGAATAGCCCTCATTTAATCAAAATCATCATTAATAACAACTCTATATAAGTACAATACCTGGTGACGAGAATTATTAGAGTAGCTGTGTTCTCCTTCTCCTCCATTCATACTAAGAGCGTTCAAGAAAGAGTCCCTAAAATTTATTAAGTGTGTTTAGTTTGTAAGAGTACCTCTTTAAACAATATGCATAATATTGATACACACGAGTGTGAAGAGAAGAAAATAGTATTTACCTTGAGGAAGACATGTCGATGTATATGAATCTTTCAATCAAATTCTTACACGATAAAAAGTGTTGCTACTCTTTGATTATATTTGAAATGTATGGTGGTCGAGTAGATCTGGCTTTTTTTCAAATCAAAGGTCAAGGATTTGGAATGGTAGCATTAATCTAAGGGAAATAGCATTTTGGAATAGAAAAAAATACAAATCACAACGTTACTTTGATCAAGAAATCAATAAAGAAACCTGAACCTACTGCCATCTTTAAAGAAGATACATAAAACAAGAGATCATGTAGGTTTTAAATCTATTAAGATATAAAGTTAAATACTTTCAACATAAACAAGACATATAAGATGATTATATTTCACCAACTGTTAATTTAGATTGATATGTGTCAATGTAGTAATATATAATTTTTATTGTTATTTATTTATTTTTTAAAAATAAAAAAAATACCAAAAAAACAAAAGGTAATCATTTTTAAAATGAAAATTATAAATTCAAAAAATAATAGCTGAGTAAGAAAAAAATAGAAACTATATAATTGAAAACTGATAACTAGAAAATCTTGAAAAGAACCATATGATTGAAATGAGACGAATACATAATCTATATGTACCTTTTGTTCTTTCTTTGTGACTATGAATTTGATCAAGATATTTTGATATTCGATTTGTATGAATGTATGATAGTTAGTGTAATAATTTTATGATCTATTGTGTTAATATTAGCTATTTTCTTAATATACTAGACTAATATCGGCACATTAAGCGCAAGTTTTCAATATTATGTTATAGAAATCAATCTATTCCTATATAAACTTCATAAATTTAAAACATTTTCTAAATAGTGTATTACTTTGTAAATACATGTAACTAGGTGTTTGGTGCGCACCGAAAATTTTTATTAGATAACTATATTAACTAGATTATTAATTTATTACTAATAACAAATCAAACACAAATATGAACATATTGTAAGACATATGATCAACAAACAAAAAAACATAAGTAATAATAATATATATCTATAAAAACTAGCAAAAATCAATTATTGTATCAAAACAACAAAGATAATTAAAATAAAATAAAAGACAAGTTAAAAAAAAAAGACCGTATGTAATTAACCAATCCCTTTTACTATCTTTGATACCATGTTTAGTTTTATCTATAATTAATTTTAAAGATAAATTTTGTTATTCTTTCTCCAGAATTTTTTCCTTATTTCGCGGAAATTATCTCTTCTTATCGGTATTTATCTTTTATGCATGTGCGAACACGAAACTTTGACAGGAGAACATAAGTAATTAAAAAATCTTTTTGGTAGTTTTAATACTATGTTAAGTTTCATATCTAAAATAGTTATTATTTGTATACACTAAGTTTATTTATTATTGTAATTTCTCATTTTCGCTAGCCGAAATCACTCACTCTTTTATCGGAACTATCTTTTATTCTTGTCAGTTTTTATCTTTCATGTAAGCATGGAAATGAAAGTATTATATATGAGTATAGTTAACAATTAATTTGTTAGCTTTGATACTATGTTAAGTTTCAAATCTAAATTAGTTATTTTTTATATATTATAGATGAGTTTATTTTCGTTCTCCGTAACCTAAATTACATCCTCACGGAAAGACGACTAAACCACTAATAAAAAAGTCGCAAGTTTTACAATGACACATAAGTTTTTTTATACAATATGCATTAATATTGATACACACGAGTGTGAAAAGAAGAATATAAATTTTACCTTGAGGAAGACATGTCGATGTATATATATAAATCTTTCGATCGAATTCTTACAAGATGTGATTAGTATTTTCTATTCCGAAATGTTATTCTTCCCTTAATTAAATGCTAATATAGTCCAAATCCTTAATCTTTGATTTGAAAAAAAAAAACCAGATCTACTCGCAAGCATACATTTCACATACAATCAAAGAGCAGCAACACTTTTCATCTTGTAAGATTTAGATCTGGAAATGATTTAGATCTGGATCTGATGAATAAAAGAAAACCCAACCTACTGCCATCTTTCATTTACGATCTAAATCAGATCCAGATCTAAATCATTTCCCAGGAAATCAGTTCAATAGAAATTAATATTATAAAACTTAAGAGTGTGAACTTTCCAAACTATATATACTATAGTATCCATGTTTAAAAAATGGTTACGCGGTCGAGAGGGGACTAACGCCTAACAAAAAAAAATCAAGAATATACATATTTATATTTTTATTATATATATATATATATATACGTATTTTCTTTATTGTAACAAAAGTTAATAATGATGCATAGTCTGGTGGTCAAGATAGCATGGGTAGGTCACCAAGTTAATAATTATATCGAGCCATATACCTGTTTTTTTACTTTCCTTTTCTCATATTTTCATTAATGAGAAGTAAAGACAATTTTTTTTTTCATCTTCTACCTAATTGTAGTAACGAGAGGGTAAAATAGTAATATAAGACGTAAAACTTGGAGATCTTTGTTTGATGAGTTTCAGCTCAAGAAAAAGGATATGTGAAGTAGAAGTCGAATAAATACTTAGAGAAATATAAAAATATTGTAAGACATATGATCAACAAACAAAAAAACATAAGTAATAATAATATATATCTATAAAAACTAACAAAAATCAATTATTGTATCAAAACAACAAAGATAATTAAAATAAAACAAAAGACAAGTTAAAAAAAATAGTCTAAAACACTTTTTTATATACAATGTTCATAGTCTTCTACTTTGACTCTTTTTTGGATTTATGACTAAAAATTTTGAGTTATTTCTTTGATATTACTGCTAAATTTTTTGTTCTCCCTAGCCAGAACTCTTTCTCCGTTTCATGGGAATTGTTTCTTTTTATTGGCTATTATCTTTCACGCAAGCACATGCACGAAACAAAAATATTATAACATAGATTAATAATCCTTTTGGTAGTTTGATACCATGTTAAACTTCATCTCTAAAATAATAATTATTTGTGTAAATTAAATTTACGCATTAATTTATTTATTCATTCTTTAACCTTAAATTTCTCCATGTTTTGGTAGAAATGATTCTCTTTACCGATTCTTATATTTTTCGTAAGCATGGACATTAAACTATTTTATTAGACCGTATGTAATTAACCAATCCCTTTTACTATCTTTGATACCATGTTTAGTTTTATCTATAATTAATTTTAAAGATAAATTTTGTTATTCTTTCTCCAGAATTTTTTCCTTATTTCACGAAAATTATCTCTTCTTGTCGGTACTTATCTTTTATGCATGTGCGAACACGAAAGTTTGACAAGAGAACATAAGTAATTAAAAAATCTTTTTGGTAGTTTTAATACTATGTTAAGTTTCATATCTAAAATAGTTATTATTTGTATACACTAAGTTTATTTATTATTGTAATTTCTCATTCTCCCTAGCCGAAATCACTCACTCTTTTATCGGAACTATCTTTTATTCTTGTCAGTTTTTATCTTTTATGTAAGCATGGAAATGAAAGTATTATATATGTATTATATATGAGCGTAAGATTTAGATCTGGAAATGATTTAGATCTGGATCTGATGAATAAAAGAAAACCCAACCTACTGCCATCTTTCATTTACGATCTAAATCAGATCCAGATCTAAATCATTTCCCAGGAAATCAGTTCAATAGAAATTAATATTATAAAACTTAAGAGTGTGAACTTTCCAAACTATATATACTATAGTATCCATGTTTAAAAAATGGTTACGCGGTCGAGAGGGGACTAACGCCTAACAAAAAAAATCAAGAATATACATATTATATTTTTATTATATATATATATATATACGTATTTTCTTTATTGTAACAAAAGTTAATAATGATGCATAGTCTGGTGGTCAAGATAGCATGGGTAGGTCACCAAGTTAATAATTATATCGAGCCATATACCTGTTTTTTTACTTTCCTTTTCTCATATTTTCATTAATGAGAAGTAAAGACAATTTTTTCTTTCATCTTCTACCTAATTGTAGTAACGAGAGGGTAAAATAGTAATATAAGACGTAAAATTTGGAGATCTTTGTTTGATGAGTTTCAGCTCGATAAAAAGGATATATGCGAGATAATTTATGTGAAGTAGAAGTCGAATAAATACTTAGAGAATTTTGAATTTTTTGTATTAATTGTTCTGCGGTAAAAATCTGATCATGTAATAAATGAAATTACAAGGTTAGTTATACTACAAGTTAAATTAAGACGGGTAGCCTAATGGTCGGTCAGGTCTATCTGCCCGACCGCCTCATAAAATGTCGAAGTGGCGAGTTGATGATTCGGATCATAGAATGTCCATATGAAAACGGCCTCGTTTTAGCTTCCATAGCGGGCCTTCGATGTCGCTTGGGCCTTAAAGAAAAATTATTGGACCGATGCTAAATTATTAAATAGGGACTGTGCTCAGCCCCCGAGTTCATTAATGAAGATGTTGCATCGATGTTCAGCGGTTCTGGGGAGATCGCGGTTTAGCTCAAGCTTCGACCTCTACTGACGCTTTTGTCGAGGTGGGAGATGGATGGAGGATGAACGTGCGTTGTCGGTAGTTACGAAAGCGAAAAGTCGCGCGTGACTTTCAGGCGAGAAGACGAAGAGATGCGATTTACTGCTTGAGTGGATCAAGGCGCGTGAAATCCGATCTTCATTTATTTCGTAGAGACGCGTCCGCATCATGATTATTCTCCTCGGTAACCATCGCTTTTTCTTCTATAAAAAGCCCAAGACCTCAGCTTTCCTCATCTTCTTCTCCTGCTGATAAAAGGTAACTTCTCTCTGACTTTTGTCTAGAATTTTGTTTGCTTTCTCTCTCTAGATTTTATTTTCTCCGTCGTCTCCGGTTTCATTTTCGTTGAACGCCAAAATTCACGGCCGTCAAAAAGACATCGAATATGACCTCGAGAATTGAGTCGAGTTTGGAGTCGGGGTCTCGTTCTGAAAAGGCTGCCACAGTGAGCTATAGCTCCTCGCCTGTTACTTTGTTGAGATCCAAAATCGAT